GGAGAAATTAGGAATGAACTAGTATGTGTATCCATGTGATCATAACACAGAGTTATATCACAATTATTTTATGTAATTTCATGCATAGCTAGCAAAACAGGTTTTTGATTCGCCTGCATTTTTTAAACTGTTTCAGAAAGATGCTTATTTTAATTTATGCTACATTTTTAAGCTTTAATTTGATTGTGTTCATTTTACCTCAGCTTTTTAAAGAGTGTATCTTGTGTGTGTACAGCCTGATGGCATCAATGTGTTAGGACTGACTACTCTAAATACTGAAGTGTAATGTTGAATGAGAAAACAGGAATAGTATAGACCATGAAGTTGATTACAACGTAATTTCAGGTCCAAAGAGATAGTAGTGTGTTCTCTCTAGTCAGTTTAATCTGATCAATTCAATTTGAAAGCTGCTGAGGCCAGCCCGGCCGAATCCATGTTCATGTGTGTTCAGTAGTTCTTTGTTTAATCATTCAGAGAATTCCCTTTAAAACTCCTGTGAGGTACTTTTCATTTTGTGTTGATTTTTGGCACCCCCATGTGGACCAAGCAGTGTGTCTTATCCCTTTTCTGATCCTGTACTGTACATGTAGTAGTGGTGTCATCTGATGAAAATCTCCTCCTGCTGTCTTTCATCAGTCATAGATATCACTCAGTGTGGATCTTTGCTGTGGAAAATGTTTACAAAGGCTGTTTCTTGCTCCTTGTCTGACACCTACCTGGTCACAGCACTCACACACATTGAAAATAACTTAACAGAAATAATCAATCTTCTTTCTGATGGTCTGGTTCATTTTTGTGGCTAATATAGAGACATCTGCGATCTCTTATAATCTTAATTGATCTGTATGTGTGAAATAAAACACTGTATGTGTTATTTACAGTCAGGTGCCTGGTATGTGAGCAGTGATGCCAGTTTCTTGTCCTCCTCCTTCTCTGGCAGCAGCGGGATGGACAGGTTGGTCCTCATCCTCACTGTGTTGTCCTTTTCCTCCTGCTCAGCCAGAACCTTCTTCTGTGTCTGCATACACAAAGTCAAATAGAGCTTTCAGTCCACAGAAACAATTAAACGTGATCTCAAAGTGTACCAGCATTTAAAAACTCAAGAAATGCAAAACTGCTTGTTATGTGAAAAGAAGGGATTTACTTGTGACTATAAAGTGTTTTGGAGCTGTTTTTGATTCTCTTTTATGTGTAATGACGTGCAGGAATACAAGCTCTGAGAAACGGAGCAGTGGATTATATAGAATTATACACATGCAAAAATACTGTGTTTCTTTTCTTGTTAACACTTGTATTACTTTACTTTTGATTGCAGTGATGGTTAAAGAAAGACTAAACACACAAATAGTAAAAATACACTCAATTGTTGATTAAAAAAACCCAAGGATTTGACCTCCTACCCTGAACTTCCTGCGGAGGGTACTGTTGAGCTGGAAGTCATTCTTCCAGCCGGCCTGGTAGTCTTGAATCTCGGACAGAGAAGGCAAAGCCTTTTTGAGCTTCTCCTTGTCTTTCCCACCGTGGTCAAGTTTGAACATGGCATCCGTCTCCAGTTTCTCTTTTTCCAGCCGCTCTGCACAGGGAGACAGAGGAGAGAGATGATTATGAGGGGGCAAACACAGAAGGATAGTATATCTTTGTGAGAAATATTATGCCTAAAATGATTGCTATACCTGTGGTGAGGATCTGCTCATTTTCCTCCATGTCCCAGCGTTCCTCCTTCCTGCTTGCTCCGCTGACTATTAAGTAGTCGCAAGTTGCCGGGTCCGTCTGCATCTCAATGTAGTTGACACACAGGTGACACTTCATCTTAAACCTGGAGGAGACACAAACGGTGCAAGTTCTCAATTTGTTAGTTGTGATTTAAGTATTCGGTTGGGCTAAACGACATATCATTTCACTATCGCAACTGCGATGTGCGCATATGTAACACAGGACACATCAAAGGACATGCGTTCTGTCAGTCAAGTGAAAACGCGTTTGGAGCCACTTTTCTGTTGTTTGATGCAAACAAAAATGGACGGTTTTCTCATTTCCCAGTACCAGTTATTTACGATACTAGTCTGTTATCGAACTTGTCTGTTCAGCCAGAGTCTTAAGTTACTTTAAGAAAGAATCACAAGGATTTTCTGATGTTTTCTTGTTAAGTGTCACTTGTACCACAGGGGTCAGAGGGTCAAAAGTGTTTACCTGTAGATTGGCGTGGTGTAGTAGGTCCCCACTTTCTTCTTCTCAGCGTTGTAACGGACCCCTGTACCACAGCAGTGTTAGTGCACAGAAAAACACACACAGTGGGAAACTGTTTACCTGACTAAATGGATTATCTTTTTTTCAGACCTACCCATGCCAATGTGATTTTTGCAGCCATCACACCAGATGTTGTAGGGCATCTCAAACCTTAGCAGACAAAACCAGTGAATTAGTCCATACACTTAACTTAAATGTCAAAGAACAACAGCAGGATTGTCATTGTTTTTATTTGAAGGGTAAAAACACTTCAAGGCAACTCACAGTAGCTTACAGGATATCTAAACTTAACAGGCTGTTTACACGTTCAGCTGTATTGTTGTCCATATCTCTCAGCCAACAGAACTTAACATGCTTTCATTTACTGGTATTATCATTGGTACTTGTTTGTTGATTTTACATCTGTAGTTTCGTAACAAATAGTCTTCGGGTTAAATTTTGGCTAATTAGCAATATTAGAACTGTTTAAAATGTGCACCGTGTCTGAGGGAAAACATAGAGACAGATATAGACTACTTTATGAAGACTGTCACATTCATTCAAACAGTTAATGTGGAAACGAGTTCCCAATTTATCAGAATATTCACTGATAACACTGAAACTGTTCAATATTACTTGTGCAATAACTTTGTAATTCACTGCTTTATAATTGTCTATTTATTTACTCTGTCACTGTACTTTAACTGTCTATTTATTTATTTATTTATTCATTCATTGCACTAAAACTGTTAATTGACTCATCCAGTCACTGCAGAATAATAACCGTTGATACTCTGTCACGACACTATAACTTCACTTATTTGCACTATATCTCTATATTTATATTTTTTTAATTAATCAGTCACTGCAAAATAACAACTGTATATATTCTTTCAGTCACCACAACTGTCTATTTATTTATTATTATTATCATTCATTCACTGAACAGCAATTGCTCTGGCCACTTTTTGCATATTTCTCTTTCATATCACCACAAATATATTTTTGTTTTTGTAAATGCTGCTGTTTAGGATTGCTGCTAACGAAGTTTCATTATGTCCTTGAATACAATGATAATAAAGATTCTAACTATCTATCGGTTTGCCTTTCTTCGTATTCCCACAACAACAAATAAACAGTTGTAAAATTGTATCACAGTCTTTTATTTGCTTGTTTAAATGTGTATTTTGGAGTCGGTAACATTTAAAACCCAAATGGATTCAACGTTCAATCTGATAACAAGTCAGCAACATGGATTTTAAATAATAATTGTTTGTCATTTCTCTTTGTGTCCTCACCTGATGATGAGGATGCCCTGGGACAGTTTCCTGGCCCTCTCACGCAGCGCATGGGTCTTGTGGTAGCCATTGAGGGATCCATGCTGAAGACACCAGAATGTTATAGAAACATATCTTAGCCTTAAAGCACTTAGATTTAAAAAAAATCAAGAACACCATCTGTCACCAAATACACACCTTAGCAGGATCAAAATCTGGAGGGTAGTATTTGTTTGTTCCTTTTCTTTCACCCTGTAGAGGAGAACATTGTAGGGCGCTTGGTCAGTATAGAAAGATTAAACATGTAATCTTGAGACCATTTGCATGCAGACAGACACAGTTGAATGATAAAGGTCAAAGCTTACCATACTGACGACTGGATCTCCACACTAGTAATGATCGTACGACCCTGTTTTCAAATGACAAACAATAAACAGAAGCGACGTCACTGACCACATGCTGTCATGAACCCAGGTAGTTTAAATGTTTGTACAGCATATAAACCCAAAAGAGCCAGTCTAGGTCAAAAAGTAGGTGGAGGGCTGAAGGGGGGATTTTATATTTGAGGTGTTTCTGTTGAGTCATGTCACTGGAACAGAGGTAAAAACTTTGCAATGAACTTCAACATTAAATTTACATACAATTCAGATTCAAGCAGTTTCCGCATCTCTGGGAGAAAAAAATACATCTAAATTAAAAAAGCGTCCGACAGATATTTTCTTTTCTGTCCTCATAAAAAGGTCAAATGACTTGATTTTAAAATATGCACTTCTATGTACCTACTTACAACTTAAATCTTGAAGTTTAAAAGCCTTCATGTGAACTATCTCAGTTTGTCTTTATAAAGCTTCGAGGCTAACACCAAGCAAACATGAGCAATAGTGTGCTCGCTGTATGACGCTTTATGACGTTTAAATACGAGCAACACGAAGCTACATGACGACAACAGCTAAACCCATATTCTAATGTCGGTTCTGAAAAGCTTACTCTTGTTTAAAAGTAAAACAAACAAACAACAACAACGTACAACGTAATTCTCTTGTAGCTGCTCAGCTGCTCAACCGAACACAAGAGGCTCATGGGTAATTAGACGTATCTGTTGACTTCACGCGCTGTAAGAATAATCGGAAATAAAAGTTCCCCACTGTGATGATGTACTTGAATGCTCTGTGAAGTCGAACCAACAACCGGGAACGTCGGAGAAGAAAAACTAGTGTCCTACGGATCACGTTTATTATAAGTAATTGATGGACAGGTTGTCAATAATTCTTTTAAATCGCGTACTGTATATCAGTTTTTGGCACATTTGTAATTTCCGTATAAAAGTCGTGATATTTAGTTTGAATACTCTAGTAAACTGTTACTAAGTCCTGAAATAAAACACGTATTCTATATGTTGATCATTTTTTCACAGTGAACCTCGACGAGAGACTTCTTTACCTGGGAACTTCCGAGGATCCGAGTGGCACCTAAATGCAGACTGAGTTCAGGATCTAGCGTCACGTTGCAAAGGATTGTGGGTAGTGCCGGTGTCAAGAAGACGCAAAACGTGGCCAGGGCCGGTCAAAGAAAAATATTTATAAACTGGTGTTACCTGTCACTTATCGATGCCTCCGAGATGGAAATCAAAACGGAGTCACTCAAACGTTACATTTGCTCGATTTCTGACTGCTCGGCCGCTTACAACAAACAGTGGAAACTGGACGCCCACTTGTGTAAGCACACGGGAATCAAACCTCACGCGTGTGAGCACGAAGGCTGCGGTAAGTCGTTCTGCAGCCCGTATCACTTGGCCCGGCATGATCTCAGTCACAGCGGCGTGAAACCCTTTCAGTGTGTCGTGGACGGCTGCAAAGAGGCCTTCACCACCAACACGAACCGGACCAGACACATGAACCGCGCTCACGCTCAGGAGCAGAAGAAGTACGTTTGCAAATTTGAGGGCTGCGGGCTCGAGTTCAAGAAGAACAAGCAGCTCAAGTCCCACATGTGTGAGCAGCATACCCAGCTGCCTCCTTACCAGTGCACTCACGAAGGATGCCAAATGCGATTCGCCTTCCCCAGCAAGCTGAAGCGACATGAAAAGGTGCACAGAGGCTACCCCTGCCAGGAGGAGGGCTGCGGCTTCACAGGAAAGACGTGGACGGATTACTTGAAGCACAGGAAGGAGCGGCACAGGCTCACTGTGAGGTGCGACCAGTGCAGCAAGGAGTTTAGAGACTCCTGGTTCTTGCAGCAGCATCAGCACGTCCACTCTGATGTGCGGGTGGTCCTCAAGTGCCCCAGAGATGGATGTGGGAGGTCTTTCACCACAGCCTTCAACCTGCAGAGCCACATCACCTCCTTCCACGAGGAGATGCGGCCCTTCGCCTGCACCCATGCAGGCTGTGGGAAGACCTTCGCTATGAGGCAGTCTCTCCAGCGTCACAGAATCGCTCACGACCCGCTGAGGAAGAAGACTAAAAAGCCCAGACCAAGTAGATCTCTTGCGTCCAGGTTAAGTGGTTACAGTGAAACAAAGAGAGTGGTGCTCAAAAAGCGTAGAGTGCATCATCATGGGTCTGTCACCCTTTCCACACAAAACAAGACTGGTTCTTTTGAGTTGGTGTCTCTCCTGCAGGACACGTCCCTGCTCTGCAGCCCTGCTGTGGACACACTCACTAATCCCCTGACTCCACTTCTGACAGTGTAGAGTCAAATGAAGGCATTCACACCAGACTGAGGATGGATGGCCCTTAATAGAGCTGTTATGATGTAATATAACTTTTTCTACCAATGTGATGTCATCATCTTAAAGCCTAAAAGGCTCCTTCTTTGGTCAAAGGTGTGATTGGCTGTTTTGGGCTGGGACTTGTATATTAATCCATATATTATCGCCAGTTCTGTAGATGAAAACCTGAACGAAGAAATCCCAAGATACAAGAAATCAGCTCAGCTGAAAGATATTTTTCTAGATCCTGTTCTTCCGTCCTCTTGGGTCTTCTTTTCTTTTTGAAATTATAATTTGTTAATTGGAGAATATTTTTCTGGAGCTACACATTTGTGCTATTTGTATATAAGAAAATATATATTTTTTAAGTTCATTATGAAAATCTTGTCCAACAAAAATGTGAAAAAATACAATTCTGCAGAAAAGTGTTTAAATAAACATATGGATGCCTTGAAATAATTGTGTTGTCTGAATAGTATTAATCACTTGTTGAAATCAGTTCAGCCCAATATAAAAATGTCATGTAATCATTTTGAAGTGATTTCATGGGGGAAAAAAGCATGTTTTTATAAGATGTGCTCAGCTGTCTAGGAGGTCTGAAGGTCGGGGGTTTGATCCCCAGCTCCTGCAGCCACATGTTGAAGTGTCCTTGGGCGAGACACTGAACCCCAAATTGCCTCCACTGCTGCGCCAGTGTCAGGTGACTGAAGTAACTGTTGGACATTTAACATAAGCATCTTCTGCCATCAGTGTGTAAATTGATGAATGTGACACATATTTTGAAAGACAGAACTACAAATTTACAAGTCCAAGTGTATCTGTACAAAGAAGACACTTTCTCTATTCCCACAACTGAGACATACACTTTCACTGCAAATACTCAAATCCTACTGAGTGGATTTGCTTAATCCTAGTGAAAAATATCTCATTACACTTAATACAGTATAGCTCCCAACCTTTTTTGACTCAAGACCCCACTTTGACTTCACAAAACTCTGGCAACCCTAGGCATCCAAAACACACTCAACCTTTTGCTTAAATGAATTTGTTCTCAATCATGTTATAGAATTTTCGACAGTGTTGAAAGTAAACATTTATTTTAGACAACATTCAGGCATTTTTCGTGTGTGTTATTGTTGAAAGAGATGAGATATCTGCACAATGCATGGCAGACAGACAGCGACTCTGCAAGTTTCTTGTTTTGGCATCAGCTATGGCCCAAAGTATAGCCTGTGTTCAATATATTTTAATATAAAATATATTTCTTATTGATCAATAAATGAACATATCAGGCAACCCCATTTTAATTCCATGGGACAATGTGGAGTCATTACCCCAAGGTTTGGAAAGCCTGACTTAATATATGTTACATTCTCCAAACAAGTCCAGTTAAATGTATTTTTTTCAAGAAATTTCTTTCAAAATAAAAATCGGTCTGAATTGCTCATGAGGTAAAATAGTTGGTTATATTAACGTTAGGTTCTAAAAATGAGATCTCAAAGAACTTGACAACTAAATTGGACTTGGTGTATTGGCAGCTATTTGTAATCAATACAAGCAGGTACACAGCTATACTGTTTCTTAGACATTTTTTCTGCTATTCTAATAATAGTCTAAAACACATTTTCATTTGTAGCATGCTGTTGATATGAACAAAATGCAATAGGGGAACAAAATGCCGCTATTGTCAATACTAAACTGAAGATGACATGAACACGAAACACACCATAGCATTTACTGTTTTTCATGCTGAAAAACTCATTTAAAAAATAAGCAGTTATTATAACTTAATGGGTGGGATAAAATAAGTGTATTGCTGAAAATGTTAGCTGAAATTGTTGTTTAGGTTCATTTTAGTATTTGTTACTACTTTAGTAATTTATTTAAATATGTTTTATTTTTTTGACGTTTGAGATAAAGTTATCAATCAAACAAAACTTGACGCACAAGGAGCAAAACATCAGCCCAGATTAGAACAATTTTAGGAAGTGCTGGATACGCCACTCAAGACGATACTACCTCTGAAGACTTGCCAGAGAGGGTCCACTTGAGGCTCGCTCCAAAAGACCTGGAAGTCCCATACACACGCCACATTAAAATGTCAATTTTGACTGCAGAAATGTAACATTTTTACAGCCTTGTACAAAAAATAATTTTGGTCTGATTAGTAAATGTCTGTATCAGCACACACTGTGTGGGTTGAGACTTTAAAAAAATAAAATCACCCGTTTCTGATTTAACGAAGGATATGATTTATGCAAAATTAGCAGTGTGACCGATCTAACTGCAAGTGGGCGTGTTGCAGCAGTTTGTCACTTTATCACGCACCCTGGTAGCCCACCTGGGTGACCACCGTTGAGACTAAGTCCTCAACACTTGGGTCAAGGTTAATTTCCAACCCTGGTCCTTTGCCAGATGTCATACCATCTCTCTGTACCCCATTCTTTTCTGTCGCTCTTCAGCCTTTACTGCAAAATCTAATATTGTCACAAAAGTGATCAGAAAAAGAAGAAATTGTGTGTCCCTCTCCGTCTTTTTTGGGGATTTGAGCAAGAATCCCCTTTTTCCAATTAAAAGGGAATCTTTAGCCTACAGCACACAATAATTTGTCATTTTTGGACTAGATCTGTTGTTCTTTCAATGTGATTATGCCACTCTGCACAAAGCCAGGTCCTTAAGGAAATTATTCTCCAAGTTTGCTCTTGAAAAACTTCAACCTTAACCCAATCAAGCAACTTTTGGATGAGCTGGAATGAAAACTCTGGCTTCTGAATGACAGCAAATCCCAGCAGATGTTACCAAAATCTGATTTAAGTGTATATCAGCAGAATGAAGGCTGATATATTTTAGTGCCCATGGTTTCAGAATAGAAGTTTAATAATTACATATGGGTCGAATGGTCTTGTCCATAACACTCTTTAGAGTCTGAAGCTGATGTCACTGACCTGCATGTCATTAACCAAAGGATGAGGATGTGTGTGGAGTAAAATCAAGGAGATACTTGATGACACACAGTGTCTCATCTCTGACCAACAGATTTACGGCATGAACAGAAGCAGCTCTTTGCAAGTTTGAGATTCCTAGTCTAAATCCTCTCTGAATATTTCCCATAACAGGAAGACTGCTCCCTACATTCCTGCCCCGCTCGGCTCAGACGAGCCCTACATGGACTGACTGTCTGACCAGCTCATCCAGAAATTCACAACAGGACTCATCCCATTAGTTTTCACACAAATTGCAACATGTAGTATTTGGTAGTTGTTTCCTCTTTTAAACCTGCCTACATCGTTGGGGCAATAAGACCTAGATGTATCATGTGGAAAAAAATATATAATTCTTCTGAGACACCAACAGCCAACTATGCAATCAAAAATACATAATAATTACTGTGTTCTTATGCATCTTTTCCATCAACATATCAGTTCAAGGCCTAACTTTGAGATTTTGCCAAAAGTCAACACGTTTTTTTAATACATTTTGGTTAATTTGCCAAATGTAATGGAATATAATATGTAACGTATGTTTGTCACACACAATGCTAACTGTATTTATTTCTTCCCAGTTTTTCCATGCTGTGAACCTCTCCATGTAAATCTTTTTTTTTTCTATGCTACTCCATAACATTTTTGGAGTCCGGTTTGGATTCATGTCCGGTCTGGATTCATGCCCACCTCAGCAGTCTGGCTGCCTTTGAACGGAAACACTAAGTGTGAGCGCGGTCACACTGGCCATCTGTACCGTGCCCAACCACGCTTCAACCCTAAAGTCCAGTTCGTTTGGCCAGTGTGACTTCCTTGGCTTTGGCACACTTCGGAGAGGTGTGCTTCGGCGTGGTACACTTCATGCACGAGCACAAGCGTACAGGTACACAACACTGACAGCCTCCCTTAAGGAGAAATCCAGAGTTTCATGTCTGTATCTGACTAAAATGACACAATATAAGCCACAAAGTAGCTGTCATGTTCTCTGTGTTGTTCTCCGATGTGCGGCCACGGACTCACCTGCGGACTCAGCCGCTCGTCTCTTTTATTTTTAAATTAATTTATGGCTGTGTCTGATACAAATAGCTTAAAATAAGCTGCAAAGTCAGTAAAGTAGCTGCCATGCTCTCTGTGTTGTTCTCCGACGTGCAGACGTGGACTTGACTGCGCGTCCCTTTTTTGTTCTCTCTCTCCCCCTCTCTCTCTCTCTCGTCTGCCTGTTTGTCAACTGAGCACGCTTCATAATAACATAAAGCATGCATGCGTTGTATTATGACGTTATGAACAAGAGGTAATCGTGCTTTTAGGCACGGTTAGTCAGTGTGACCACGCCCTAAGTAAATGGACTTGAGCTTGTATAGCGCTTTTACACTGCAGGTAACACCTACCCATTCACACACTGATGGCAGAGGTTGCTATGTAAAGTGATCATCAGAAGTATCTAATCTCATTCACTCATTCATGCGTTGCCAACAAAGCAATTTACCAACTGAGCCACATCCGGGTGCTGAGATTAAAATAGATACTGTTAAAACTTTAAAGGGGACATATTATGAAAAATCGACTTTTATGGTGTACATTTATTTGGGGAACCTGAGTGTCTACTGAGCTACAAAATGTGAAATAAATCCATCCAGTCCTTTGTTTGTAGTCTGCATAAGTCTTACAACACAAAGAAAAATGCTCTGTTTCAAATTTGTTCTCCTTGGGATGTCACATTGAGATTCCGGTAACAAAAGTCCGTCTGTTTACACTCAACAAGCTATCAGTAGATATTCAGTTGCATGTCAACAGTGTGTCAGTTGATATTCAACTTAAGTATTTCAACAGACAAGTAACATACATTCAACTAACTATTACTAGACTATAAGGTGCATTATCAGTAGATATGTAGTTGCATGTCAACAGTGTATCAGTTGATATTCAACAAGACTTGTCAACAGACAAGTTATATACATTCAACTTACTGCCAGTAGACTATAAGGTGCATTTCAAGTTGTTACAACATTTTACAAAAAGTGTCTTCCAACTCTCTTATTCTTTTAAACAGGTTATTGATTGACATTCAACTAACTATATGTAGCTTGTCAACGTCTTGTAAGTTGACACTCAACTACTCTGAATCAATCTGTCAGGTGAAAGTCAACAGTATGATGTCAACATATCCCCAATGTTTCTCACTCATCAATGACTGACTCTGTTGATACTCTG